GCCATGGGCCTGAAGCCGAAGGCTTACCTGAGAGACTACGTCTTTGTGTCTCAGGATCCAAAGGATCAGCTTCTTCTCGGGTTTGTGAATGTTTCGTAAGATGTTGTATGTTGAAAGTAACGTCTGTCACTGAGGATGTCTGTACATGTATACGTACAGCGTGCGTTATCGTGATCGGATCCCCCATCAGAAAAAAAATTTAATGGATATTCAGAAATACAGTAATGCTTTGGGCTACGAAAGTCGTGTGGTCCAGAAAAATCGTTCATACGAGTGAATTTACATGTAACTGGAGTCATTATTATATGGCTGTCATATAATGTAGAATATATATGTAATAATAGGTGTGTGTGTGTGATGAGTTATGTGTAGAACTTGTCTTTGTTTGCAGACCTACGTATGCCACGCCCAAAGTGTTGGAAAGAGCTGGACTGAAGATGGGAGATATTGATGTGTTTGAATTCCACGAAGCCTTCGCAGTAAGTGTATTCGTTGGTTTGTTCCTGGAGTGAGGAGTGCATGCATGTGGCTTACACGACGTGCTTGTGCCAATGGTCAGATGCACGTATTGAATAAATATTATTAGGTAACACGAACAGAAGATGGATTTCTTACAGCCCAGCAGCGAGTGTAGGTTCTAGTCGTATAGGCGAGTGTTTTGCCAGTTGCCTTCTTTGTACAGGGGTTTGTTGACAGGCAATGATGGTTGAAGGCGTAGTGTATAATACAGACTGGTTTTGTTGTGTATATAGGTTACGACATACATAAGCGCAACCTTTGTTGCAAGTATTCTCCTAGCAATCTACATCACCTATGTCGCAGTATGCACCTGTGGTTTCGCAACACTACATCTGCACTCGTTCGCAGGGTCAGATCCTCGCTAACCTGAAGGCGATGGATTCAGATTTCTTCGCGCAGACGTTCCTGGGTCGCAGCACACGGGTCGGTGTCCCTGCGATGGAGAAGTTGAACACGTGGGGAGGCTCCCTCTCCATCGGCCACCCATTCGGCGCTACAGGTGCGAATAACCATCAAAACGGCAGCACACTAGAAGTAATGAAGCTTGTTGAATAACTAGCAAAGCAGCACACCAGAAATAATGAAGCTTGTTGAATAACTAGCAAAGCAGCACACCAGCCAGAAATAATGAAGCTTGTTGAATAACTAGCAAAGCAGCACACCAGAAATAATGAAGCTTGTTTAAACTACGTCTAGTCTCCATGGCTGTTACTTTCCTTTGCTGTTGCACGATAGTGAAACTCGTGTGATTGAACGTGTGATGTCTGGGGTAACCATCAAAACAGCAGCTTGTCAGGAGTACAGGAGCAACAAAACTCTAATAAAACTACGTCCCCTGCGTAACCTAACTGCGTTTCCTTGGCTGCTACTTCACTTTGCTGCTGTTGCGTGAGAGGGAAGTTCGTGTGATCGAACGTGACGTGCGTGGGGGTTTTTGCGTGCGCGTTTCGTTTGTTCGAGTGCCGCGTTCGAACAAAGGGGAAGCTGAAATTCGTGTGGCTAACCCCTACGTCGTTTGTCCGGTTCGCACGCGCGGATTCCATCGAGAATTAATTCGGACACGGTCGTACCGAAGTCTGTACGGCTATAAAACGCAACGTCTTGGCGTTTACTGCGTTCGCGCGTGACGGGACAGCGCGTGGGGTATGGATTGAGCGCTGATGACTGTGCGTGTGTTGTTCACAGGTGTCAGGCTGGTGACGACGGCTGCTAACCGGCTAGCGAAGGAGGGAGGCAAGTATGCGTTGGTCGCGGCCTGCGCCGCCGGAGGACAGGTACGTAGATTAGATTAGATTAGATTTTAGATTAGATTTTGAAATTTATTTACGCTTTCAAGTATATTACATTGTTACATATATCACAACAATTTTTTAAATAAATACAGCGAGGGAGGGCGAATTGACTATACAGTCTTCAAGTCAGCCACTCTGCTAACTACAGTTAGTAGTTAAACCATGTATGACAATACGATTGGATAATACAAAAATTATATATGAGCGTTGTTAATTACGTAAACGACGAGGTCACGACGTGGAGGGAAGGTGGGACCCGTTACACGAAACAAAAATAATCTTAAAGTTAGTCTTGACGTTAACTTTTTTTGTCGTAGACGGTTGACAACAGCACAGTTTATTGTATGCAGTGTATAGGGGACCGGTTTGCGAGAAAATGTTAACGTCAAGACTAATTTTCAATACTAATTGTTAATTGTTGAATGTTAAGACTTACCTTTAGGGGAGATGGTAGTAGACCGTAAGTAGAATGCATCTTGTTCTCTTCGCAACGTTTGTCTTATTTATCTTATTTCAGGGTCATGCCATGATCGTCGAACGCTATGGCAAGTAAAGACAATCGCATCAGTCGACAAGTTAGAAAGCGTAACAGCGGCTTCTAACTCGTACCATGATATATTATGAGTATAGCAGAGAGTTCTGTCTCTGGCCTTATGAAGAGTTATGCGTCTGGCGTCTCATCGCGCGCCAGCGGACCACCCACACTGTTCCAGCACCCTGTCTCTCAGAGATGACAACCACGCGTGGAATCAATCCATGGAGCTTTGCGCGTGTTAAATTCTGCATGTATATATTATGTATCGGCATGTCAAACTGGAAGCTTCATTCTGAGGTTGTAACAACGTCGAGTCAAGATATTGAAGAACAGAATCGAGATATTGATGAACGGTTGAGCGCGTTTGTGGTATAGTCGTGCATCATGCTTTGCTATCGCGTTGTATCCACGAGCAAGAGTTTATCAAATGTGCGATTGTGAACGATGTTATGTATGGATGGATATCACTGTCAGTTATGATATGGTGGTTATAATTTTGTTAGAAATATATGGATGGAACGGTGCAGCTTACTAAAATTTTGTTGGCTAATATTTGTTTTAGAGAATTTTTTTTCCACAACATGCGAGAGTTAATTTGGTAGGAATAACTCAATTCTGTATATTTGATACCCTAATATTGACATCTGACAATGACCATTACACTATATATTTTGCTACACAATTGCACAGTTGTATGTAGAATATGAAGTCTTGGGAGAAAAGGGGATTTATTTTATTTCATTGCACCTTTATAAGCTTTATTATGAGCTTGCATTAAACTCATGTTTCAAAATTCCTATTCCAACCAGAACTGAAAAATTGTTCACCAGAACATTTTACCTACCAGTTTGATCATAGCCACAAAATTATTAGATGGCTTTCCATATCAGATCAGTTCAAAATGCGTATGTACTGTAGTTTCTGTCCTAGAATGTGTGTGCATGTAGCTGTGTTTTCTATATAGAGAACAGTCATGAGGGGATAATTGTGAGCAGTTATCTTAAGTCTACTGGCTGTCAGACTATAGTTAGTGAGTAGAGAGATTAGTTAGAGAGTAGTAAGTGCAGTAGCACTGCAGTTATGTCTCTTGTATAAAGGCATAAGTACATGTATGTATAATAATCGATATTTTTCCTCTGCCTGTTATCAATTTTTCTTACTGATAGATTAGTCTCGTGTAGCTCCATCTTTATCTGTAAGGTTTGACTGACAGATCATAGTACACGGAATGCACCTTTGGAGTTTGCACCCTTGACTGCAAATATAGGTGTGATCTGTAGTACCGACGTCACATGACATTTATTGACATAGTAAATTTTTAGTACAAATAAAGTACGTGGCACCTTATTCGGGTCAATGAGGATCTTGTATATTTAATCTATGCATAGGGCATAACCTATATATATATGTGGCAGATAAATCTGCGAAATATACCAAGACCAAATTTTTCGTTTATTAATCGAGCAGGAATTTAAGCTATACAAGTACAACATAAAGTTCTGCATTTTGTTTAAAACCAGGATGTTATGTATTGAGGTTTTTCTGCAGATTCCATCACATCTGCTTTCATTGGTTCATATTTAGCTGCTGATGCTATCTGTAATTAGACACTTTTGGCAGTATTTGGCAGTAATCCATTTAACGTGTCTGTGTATATGTATTTATTTGTCCACGAAGTGAAGCTGCATTCGAACACAAAATTTCCATATCAAAGGCGTTGAACTTGAGAGCAGCTATAGTAGTCGTAGCTAGTATAAACAGTATAAACAACGTCAACGTGATCAATTGATCTAATATTGTCACACCTCTTGTCTACACACAAACACATCACATCCATATATTTTAGTGATTTTCAGTTAAATTTTTATTGATTTTAAACTGCACATTTACAAATATATGGTTGATCGGTGCTGAACACAATATTTTACAGTAAACGAAAAATGGGTTTCCGTGCTATTCAAACTTATTACGGTAATAAAATTCACGTAAACGAGGTCCATACTATAGCGAGCTTCTCTTTGTAGATGGGAAGAAGGGAGGTCGGGCAGCGGGTACGAGGAACGTGGTGCTCGTGGAGGGAGTGCGCACACCGTTCCTCATGTCGGGCACCACCTACAGCTCCCTCATGCCTCACGACCTAGCCCGCATGGCTCTCGCCGGGCTAGCTCAGAAAACCGGCATCGCAAGGGGTGAGTTCTCCTGCGCGTATGAGATTAGAGTAATTTCCGATAACATACATGCTCGCTGAAATATCGTCACGCGCGTTGCTGCACACAGAGTTTTGTTGGGGTCAGCCTCAATGGGTCTGATTTACGCTGAATGGCATTTAGGTCTTTCGTACACCTCTAGACGGTTTTCTCTAATCGATTTGGCACTCATGAATTTGGAAAGTCATGCTGTATTTCTGCCAGCGGTATCTCTACTGCTGCTAAAGGTAAAACTGGTCTGATAACCCGTGTGTAAACAATTGCTGGGAATCTTTCCAGTTTAACTCTACCTAGTTTTTGATGTTTTTCTCTCTTAAAATGAAAAATGTTTGCCTATGTTCTTGAACCCTGTATAAACCAGCAAAGCCATGCTATAGTTCAGCCCCCCTTTATCCGTACTAATGCTAAGTCGTCCGACACATTTCGAAAGGTGTTGGCATCGTTTTCACGCCTCAGGAATGTTTTCCCTATCCCTGTGCTGCAGATGTAGCAGAGTATATCATCATGGGCACTGTCATTCAGGAGGTGAAGACGAGCAACATTGCGAGAGAGGTAAACCCCTCAAGCGTCCCCAAATCGTTTTTCCGTTGACGTCTAACGCACCTCGCTACCGTGCTGCTGCAGATGATGACGTGCTAACGATTCCCCTTTAATTGGAAACTCAAATCGGTCCATAGTCGCGCACTGTACTACGCACTGTAGCAAGTTTTGCTTCTTCTTCCATTTGGTTAGACCTTCATAAAGAAGGCTCTGAAGAAAACCCATTAACTATAGAGTCAAGCGGGCAGTCACGGGTGCAGTGAATAATTAAAAAAAAAAGAATTCTTATTTTGTGAAATAATTTCATCAATAATAAGAAGAACGTGGTACAGTCACGTTAGAGTTATGGATATGTGGGTAGTAATAGGCCTAGCCTAATACATCACCCATGTCTGACGATTTCATGAATCGGTCGATTCTGGCCTTGAATTCGTTGGTCGTGGTTGCTGCGACAACGTGCGGACGTTGTAGTTGTATTGGTTGTGCTCGTGTGTTCGCAGGCAGCTCTGGGAGCCGGCTACTCGGACAAGATACCAGCGCACACGGTCACGATGGCCTGCATCTCCTCTAACCTAGCCATGTCCACCGGTGAGTTTAAACGCACGCATACCTCCACATCGATTACAGAGCGGGGGCAGCGGGAGCTCCTACCGAGAGCTTTCGCTGTTAATTCATGCGCAGCGTTTCTGCTGCGATGAAGCGTAGACGATTGAGGGTAGAGGTAAGCGTGTGTGGGTATGAGTACGCGAGTGCGTGTGGCCTACACCGTCGAGTAGCACCTACGTATATATGCGGGTTTCGGAGTTAATTTACGTGCAGAGTTACCTTACACGTAGTGTTTCTGGCACAGCGATGCTTACGTAAATTAGGCGGGCATATGCGCATTGCGGTAACCGTTCTATAGTGTGGAACTGACCATGTCGTGTCGTGTCGATATCTGACCGTGTTGTGTTGTGTTACCGTCAGCGGCGAGCCTGATAACAAGCGGACAGCACGACGCGATCATCTGTGGCGGGGTGGAGTTCATGTCGGACGTGCCGATCCGTCACAGCAGGAAGATGCGACAGCTGATGCTGCGCTCAACGAAGGCCAAGACCATGGGAGCGAAGCTCGGGCTGGTCGGTCAGCTCAGACCAGCGTTCTTCACGCCAGAGGTATCACGCTCTCTTCCTCCTTCTCCCCTCCTCCTCCCCTCCTCCTCCTTTTCCTCACGGAGGCTCGCGGTGGCGTTGCGACGTCCCAGATGCGATTCGCTGCCCGGCGCGACGCGGATTGTGAAGCGGCGACGTCGGTTGCCGTGAGTTACGCGGCGTTTCTTTCGAATGCGTGCTTCGCTCGTCGACTCGGTTCGTTTGACGCGAGGTATCCGTTCGAGCTTTTGTTTCGCGCGATGGTGTTTTGTTTTGTTGACAGACACCAGCGAGAGACAGAGCAGTGAGCAGTGACAGAGTAGAATGGTCGTGTGCGCGAGCGTACGTTACGGCCGTGTAATGGTATACGCTGTATATTCGGCGGGTTATTTCGCGAATTTCGGCGAACCTTCCCGACCGCGAAAATAACAACACGCGAATATTCGTACAGAATATACGAACAGGGCTCAATTTTACAGTCGTCCGGTCGTCGTGCGACTGGATTTTTTTTTTTTTTGCCCCCCTTTTCCCTCGGCACTAGCAAAATGGGTTCCAGTGGTTAGGTGCAACCTATAAAATTTTAATATTCATAATGCCGCGTTCATTTTACATACGTCAGGGTTGCACAATACGCTTGGCAAACGTACATGTTAGGACGCATTGTCTGGCTTGCCTTTGATAGCAAAGTATAACATTACGTGTTTAACAACAGCAAGTTTCGTGTTAATTTCAATTTTTGCTCATGGCGTGACTTGAACAGTGTTAGTATGTTAGTAGTTAATGCAATGTTATGAAATAAATTTTATGGCACTTTTAAGTACTATTTTATAGCGTCCATTGATCCGCAGCATTATTTGCAGCTACAATATTTTATTATCTTCATCATATATGAGTGAAAACAAATGCGAATGCATGTCTGCTGTCACTGCAATACGTACTAAAAATGTAATGATTAGGCTTTTACTTTACAGCAGCTGAGCATCACGTGAGGCAGAGCGCATGCACCATGTTTAAATAATATCCGGACAACGGCAAACTCTGAGGACAACCCTTTGTCCTGTTGTCCTCCGGACAACGCCAAAAAAAACCTTAAAATTGAGCACCTGCGGAATAACTTAATAATCTCACCGACCGCGAAATTAACGCACTCGCGAAATTGTCCGTCAGGTATGAATTCGCGAAATATCTGTACGCGAAAAATATGGCGTATGCAGTAATTTCTGTACAGCTCATCGTTTCTTAAGATAAGCAGCTGACGCAATCGTTCGTTCGTTGTTCAGCTTCCGCGGGGCGGAGTTTCGACAGCGAGTCGATGGTCACTCGGGGACCGGCCCTGGCGGCGGCGTTAGCGGTCACGCGTGGAAGCAGGACGAGTTGCGTGCGATCGCACCACGCTCGGCCGACAAGCAAGGCAAGCGGGGTTCCCTCTCGATAGACCTCACCGCACCGTGCCAGTACGGGCGGTGTCCTGCTCCGTAGACTACCGTCACCGTGCCAGGTAAGCGGGTCCCTCGATAGACTCACGTCACGTGCAGGTAGCGGGTTTGCCTCTCGATAGACTACACCGTCACGTGCAGTACGCGGGTTCGCTCTCGATAGACTCACGGCACGTGGCCAGGTACGCAGGGGTTCCTCTCCAGAATAGACTCACCGGTCACCGTGCAGTACGCAAGGGGTTCTCTCCGATAGACCTCACGTCGACCGGGCCAGGTACGCGGGTCTCTCCGATAGACTCAACCGGCGGCACGTGCCAGGTACGCGGTTCGACTCTCGATAACTCACGTCACCGTGCCAGGTACGAGGGTCCTCCTCCGATAGACTCATCGTCACCGTGCAGGTACCGGGGTTCCTCTCCGATAGACTGCACCACTCGTGCCAGGTCGCGGGGTTCCTCTCCGATAGACTCACCGTCAGCCGTCAGGTACGGCGGGGTTCTCTCCGATAGACTACCGGCACGTGCAGGAGGGGTTCCTCGCGATAGCTCCGGCTCACGCGGGCGCAGTACGCGGGTTCCTCTCCGTAGACTCACCGGTCACCGTGCCAGGTACGCGGGTTCTCTCCGATAGACCACCGTGCACCGTGCGCAGTGGCGGTTCCTCTCCGATAGACTCACGACCATGCCATAGCGGTTCTCTCCGATAACTTCACCGTCCGTGGCAGGTACGCGGGTTCCTCCTCGATAGATCAAGCGTCAGCGTGCCAGGTACGCGGGTTCCTCTCGATAGACTCACCGGCCCGTGCACAGTACGCGGGTTCTTCCGATAGACCACCGCACGCGAGTAGCAGGGGTTTCCTCTCGCGATTAGACTCACCGGCACCGTGCAGGTACGCGGGGTTCGCTCTAACGATAGACTCACCGCACGTGCAGGTACGGGGTTCCTCTCGATAAGACTCACCGGCAGTGCAGGTACGGCGGGGTTCGCTTCCGATAGACTCACCGTCACCGTGCAGGTACGCGGGTCTCTCGATAACTCACGTCACCGTGCCAAGTACGCGGTTTCCTCCGATAGATCACGCGTCACGTTGCAGGTACGCGGGGTTCCTGCTGCGATAGACTGACCGTACCGGTGCAGGTACGGAGGGGTTCGCTCTCCGAAGTAGACTCACCGTCACCGGCAGGTACGCGGGGTTCCTCTCCGTAAAGCTCACGTCGCGTGCAGTTACGCGGTTCCTCTCCGATAGACTCACTCGTCACCAGTGCAGGTACGCGGGTTCCTCTCGATAGACTCACGTCACCCCCGTGGCGGTACGCGGGTCTCTCGCGATAAGACTCACCGTCACGCGTGCAGTACGGCGGTTCTCTCCGACAGACTCACCGTCACCGTGCCAGGTACGCGGTTCCTCTCGACTAGACCACGGCGTCACCGTGCAGGTACGCGGGTTCCCTCCGATAGACCTCACAGTCACGGGTGGCGACGGGTACGGCCGGGGTTCCTCTCGCGGATAGACCTCACCGTCACCGTGCAGTAGCGGGTTCTCTCGCGATAGACAGCCGTCACCGTGCAGCGGGGTACGCGGTTCCTCTCCGATCGACTCACCGTCCCGTGCAGTACCAGGGTTCCTCTCCGATAGACTCACACGTACCCGTCCAGGTACGGCGGTGGGGTCATCCTCTGCGCGATAAAACTCACCGGCAACCCGTGCCAGGTACCGGGCGGTTCCTCTCAGATAGACTCACCGTCACCCGTCGCAGGTCACGAATCGAGGGTTCCTCTCCGATAGACTCCCTCACCGTGCCCAGGTACGCGGGGTTCCTCTCCGATAGACGTCACCGTCACCCCCGTGCCAGGTGCGGTTCCTGCTCCCGATAGACTAACGTCACCGCGTGCAAAGGTAGC